CTGGTAGGAATAATCAAACATGTCATGGAAGAATGGGCTAGCACTTGTTTGCTAAGCACTTCATCGAATCCAAAGTGCTGCTCAGCGGCTCCGCTGAACCAAACAATGTCCCTGTTTTAACAGAGAGGCCCGGTAAGACCGGTTCTGCGGCTTCTCGTATTGTCTGTGCCACACAGTGGCAGCCTGCGACACAGGCAGACAAAGGTGGCTTTGAGTCCTGGCTGCTGGATGTTATGTGTGGCTGAGCGACAGCCAAATGACTGTTTATGCGCTCTGCAGATGTTTGCAGGTGATAGGATCTTTGGTTCAGCCTCATCGGATGCTAGAAGTTGCACCACAGGTTTGGGGGGAAGTCGTCACAGTTCCTGTTTTGGTCGCGGCGACTAGATAAGAAAATCTGACGGTATTTGTTGCATCAGTGTAGCTGAGGATTGATGTCAGTGATGATTTATATTTTTTTAAATGAAGAGGTCTTATCACCAATCAGCTGCTGGGCTAGGCTCCAGCCCCCCTGTGACCCTGATAAGGGGAAGAAAATGGATGAATGGATCTTGTCAGTTAATATTTCTAATGTGTGGCTGATGAAGTTGGTTTGTGTTCGCAGACTTACATGGAAATGGAAACTTCCATTCTTCCAAAGCTGGTTTGAGGCAGGTCAAACACACTCGAGAAATGTACAGCTCACTAACTTTCCTTTCATTTGTGAGATCCCGGCAGAGCAAACGAGGGATTTATCAGCCTGAAGTATGAAGGAGAATTCTAGATGGTGTAACTTGTAGCATTTCCTAGAGACCATTCTGCCCACCACACTGTTTATTGGGGAGATCAGCAGTTAAACTTTCATAGCAGGAAAAGCAAACAGCTCTCAGCTGCCCCAGAGATCAATCAGCATGCCAGTGCTCCCTCCAACACAACTCAGAGTGTCGAAATATCCAAACATGCCCTCTTGCTTAGCGTTGAGGCACCTCTACAGCCCCCATAGTGTTTCTAGGCTGGCGTAGGATGAGTCACACGTTATCTGGAGCTCACTTTCTCATGCCTGCGTCTACCATTTGCCAGATTTCTTCAAACGATCACGCTGACATAAAAGGACCTGGTTCAGACTGATTTCTACATCCGGGACGTAGAAAGACCAAAAACACAGGAAACATCTGAACTACACCAGAGGACAATACTACTTTTTTCATCAACCAGGAAAAGATGAACACTAAACAGCTGAGACTTACTTATCATCCACATGAAGGCAGGGAGGGCACTTGATAGCCAGCCATGTTTTCCACTGTACATGCCGGACTTTGTATACTTGTCCAAATCCACCTGAGCCTATTTTCTCCCAGCTTCCAAACTCAGAGGAATCAAAGGTCCTTAACAGCCCCATATTCCCGTGTGGAGAATCCGGGATATCCATATCCATGTTGAGAAACCCGCAAGCAGGGTAAACTCCTTTTTCTTCTTTGACTCCAACCACAAAATCAGGGGAAGTGTACACTCACACACCACCTACCTACTTGTGGGCTCTTCCTTGTTTTTCCCGTCGTCTAGCTCAGCACAGCTCCTCCCTCTGTTCAGGTGAAAAGGAGGGGCTGGGCCTGTGTTGCTGCACTGTGACATCATAGCCTGGTTTTGAAACACAGAGCAGAGGTGGAAAAGTTCACCGGAGGAACTTGACAAGCCACCGAAAGGCTTTACACATGTGCTTTCCAAATGTCCCCACGCTGTCTCATGTATGCTCCAAGAAAGCAGGAGAACAGTCTCTGCAACAAAGCCATGAAGTCAGGAAGCCATGTCATAAACACACCTTTGTCCC